AGGAAAATAAAAATTAACCTGCATACCCGCAATCAACTACATTGTCAAAGAGCCACTAATTCAGATATTTCTTGGTCTAATTTGTTAATTACAAGCTGTGATCATTCCCTTCTTTGGGACAATGTACTTTAAACGCTACTAAATCCTGCATCAAAACGCAATCAAGAACAAGAACGCAAAAAAAATAGTTGAACCTTGAGATGAACTTCGCCTGCAGGACTTCTGCGTGCCTGCGAAGAATTAGCATTGGTATGCCTCTTTGAACGGGATATTCTACGAAATGACTCCTGGCCAATGACTTTCGAGCCCTTCTCGGTCTCGGGACTAAGGACGATCTTATCAGGCCCGTGGATCTTATAGTAAGACAAAACTCCGTCCTGCAACACAAACCACCTGGGCCTCCACCCCTTGCCGTAGTTCACCCACTTGTACAGGACTCCAGAAATACCATTCCCCACTATGTCGTTGATCTTCACTTGCTGCTGGCTATCCACCACTCCAGCGCACACAAGCTGCGCAGCCTCCCTCGTGGACGTAGACTCGGTCAAAATCCGATAGTCAGAATTCAAATTGTGTCGATGCGCTAGATTGTTGTTGTAATTTTGACTTCCGTAGAACGTAAACGGTTCGGACGATCCGCCGGAAGACGGTGGTGGCGGAGGAGGAGGCCGGGACATGGGCAAAATCAACGAATCACCGTTGCTGCAGTTAATGGTGGATACGCAGCAAAACGGATGCATAGTGTTGCATATTAACAAGATAATCAAATAATCGAAGGAGCCGATTAACAGAATTGCAGAAGCTCTCTCTATATATAAGCTCCCGCAACAATATTCTCCCGCGTTTTTACTGTTGGTTTCTTCAGTGTAATGTGACGGACAGATGCGGATGATGCGAGGAGGCGGCAGCGGACGCGGAAACCAACTGGCGCCGGAGACGGGCGAATTTTCCGGAGAGTGGAGGTGACGTGGCGGAGGAAGGCAAAGAGTAGAGGTGGAAAGACTTGGTAGGGTGCGTTTGGGGAAAACTGAAAAAATGCGGCAATAAATAAGAGTAAATATTGTAACTTGGAAATCAGGTTGGCGGTTGCGAGTGAGAGCGTGACGGGTGGGAGATCTATGCATGTGCACGTGGCTATACGGTATTGGTGAGACGGGATGGGTAACGCGTTGTGGTAACTTGAAAAATGGAGCGGATTCACGAGGACTCGGTAAAACGATAATTTTCTCACGGGCATAAAAGTTAAGTGTAATCCACCGGTGTGAAAGCATCACAAAGTCACAAAGTACAAAAATCATTTCCCTTAAATTTTTCATTAATTTGAGAAACTTGCCAAAAAAAGGAAAAAACATAATGTGAAATTCCTAAAAATAACTATCATCTGGTTTTCTATATATTAGGGCTGGAACTTGGAACCAAGAACCTAAAAACCGAACTGATCGAATTGTTATGACTTAGTCTGGTTCGGTCTAACATTTATTAGTTATTTATTAATGGTTCAGTTCCTATTTTTATTAAGTGCTCTACTCATCACCCTTGAGATGAGTTTTTTGGTGGCTAATTACGATGCTAATTCAAGATCATAATTATTGATTGTAGTGAATATGTTGTTTTGTTTTATTTATTAAAATATTCAGTTTGGTATGTATTTAATTATGTTTTAAACTCAACTTTTGAGGTTTGAAATGATGGTAAAAATATTTGTAGTTCTTGTAATTTTAAACATTGAATGTTTTTTGGCACACATTGATGGTACAAATTTTTTTTAATAGCTAGAAACCGTTAAAACGACAAGAATCGAACCCTTAACAATGGTTCGATTCCATATTGATCCAATAAAAAATTTATACGAATCGAACCGTTACGAAGATTTGATATTTTTCAAACGGTTCCATATATTTTGTCTAGGAACCGAACCAGGCACAGGCCTACTAAATATGAATAAGTAACTTTCATATATATTTTGATCAACATAATCAGTTATTAGTATAACCCATTCAGAGATGCTTCACACGTTCGGAATCCCTACTATATAAGGTGAAAGAGATGATTTCTTTATTCTCTGAGGCTCGTTTCAGCTAGTCGGGTGAAGCGGGGGTGTTACATACGATGTGATTCGCTATATTAGCTTAATGAGCTAGCTTCTCGAATTTGATCGTAACCCTATTTCATTCTATCAATAACACTCTCTTTTATTTAATTCTTGCAACAGTTTGACTTTCACGTTTGCTAACGCAAAACTTTGACTGTAATTATATTTAATTATGTATTAGTAAACATTATAAAAGATTGATATTTTGGAAACTCACATTGATAGGAATTCAATATCATTTTATACGTGATGATTTGATTATGTATATTAGTAGAAAATCATGGTCAAAGTAAAATATGTGAATAGTGCAAAAATCACAATGTTGCAAGAATTAAAAAACGGAGGAAGTATTATTTTCAAAAATATATTACTATAGTTTCGCATTATATGAAACTATTTATTTTGAAACAAAGAAGAAAGATACCCCCTATTTTGCAAGTGGAAGCATGATTTTGTATGTATGTATGTATGTATGTATGTATGTATGTATGTATGTATGTATGTATGTATGTGTGCATTAGGAAAACTTGTGCTTTGTATACATGCTTATGTCTACTTTAAATCTCCATACACACATATTTATATATAATTTGTAATAATATATTGATTAGATTAATCACTTTAAATGTCATATTGATTTTGTAGTTAATGATCCAGGCAGCTGTGTCAGAAACAAATAGAATGGGTGACAAAGCGAAAACGGGTAATTTTTCATACCTATTACCCAATTCATACGATTTCCTTATTTTATCCGCTCGGCATAGTAAATGTCAATATATTTGACAGAGAATATGAGAAAACTGATTGTATGTTAAATTATGGTAGGACCTAGTACACTTTAGGAAGGTTCATTTGTGTTACCTTATCTTCTAGGAAAAAACAATACATTACTTTTTTGACCAATTTTACAAGATTGACTAATTTTGTCATCATATGTTTTACAATTTGGTATAAACCTTCTAATTATTAAAAGTCTTCCCAATGGAACACTCTCACTACAATTTACTCACGAAAACAACATTTTTTTCATCGTACCTTATTTTTTATTTGATAAACGTGGGCGTAGTCTTCATGTCTCTTAGTGTCTACTTTATAAGAGCGGAAATGAAAGTATATTTGGTTCTAGCATTTAGAATGTTGTTTAGAGCTAGTGTGTAAAAATTAATATTAAACTTGAGCATAATGTAAAGAGTTCAATCCTTACACACTCATTCCATCTTTATTTCTATCATCTATCATCATGTTCGATCAACAACATAATCCGTTTCCCAAAAGTATTACGTTGGTTTTGAGTTGACGTAATTAACCTCAACAGTATGTATATATATGACTGGATGGGTAAATCAAAACTGACCTACCCGATCTCGGTACCAACCCCTCCATATACAAGCAAGGGCTGGCTTCTAATTGACTTGATTCACGCCTATACACAAGCAAAGCTAGCAATCTCAGAAAGGCAGTGGATTTACCAGTTACATATATTCAGAAAACATTTACTATAATGACATGGAGTCGTCAATGAGAAATGAAAAGAGATACGATCATAGTAAGTTTAAACTAGGAGCAAATAATAAAAATATTTATAGGAAATAACATATTAGATGAGGGGATGTTGAGAATATTACATGATGAAAAAACAATACTTCTAACGAAGTTACTTGACCTACTTGATAAACAAAAAGCATAAGACACACGCCTACATATGTGTATCACCACCATTTATAGTATGATTACCCTCTTTTTAAATTAAAGCACACACAAAAAACCTGTAATAGTTTTGAATCCACCACCTTCATGATGTTAGATGAGTTCAGGACAGGCACAATAGTGTAAACCACAACCACAAAGCCCTGTCACTACAAGATAATAAGATTTTGGGGGACCGGGATGACAATTAGTACTTGTAAACATCAACAAACACACAAGCAGCTTATGAAGTTATGATAATCACAAGTTCATCACCATCACCACCACCACCACCATCATCATCTTCGTCGTCGTTGTCATCATCATCATCATCTTCTTCATCTTCATCATCATTATCATTATCATTATCAACATCACCATCGCTAATATTATTACAAGTATAAGTTAATTACTTCCTCTACATGTCCCAAATTGAATTGCAATTCGCGGTTGGTAAATTATCAGGAACTCAACCTACATAATAAAAATTATCTTATTTATTTATTTAACTATTTATTTATTTATGCATTTATTTATTAATGTTCATTTATTTCAATATTTTAAATTTTAATGGATAGTAAAATAGGGATTAAAAATGTCAGTGAAGGAGAGAGGAACTAAAAAATAACAAATATAACATACACATATTATGTACTCCGTATTATATATTTATTTGAAAATAGAAATTATATTTTTAGCTCGAATTCGAGCTATGGCCACAAGTTCGAGCATATTTTTTGAGCTCAAACTTGCAAAAAATATTTAGTAAAACTTGATCGAGCTTGGTTCGAGCTCAAGTTGAGCTTGAGTAGAGCTCAACTCGAGCTCGATACACAATTATCAAATTCAATCATAACTACATTCTAACTCGGCTCTCGCTTCGGCTCTCGCTTCGGCTCATTTGCAACTTAAATAGAACGTGTCTTCGCCGTTTGGCATTTCCACATACTTGCTACTTTTCCTTCAACGTAGCATGCTATTTTACATGCATAGTATGGATTGATTATACCACATGTCAGAAATCGCGCATGAAAAGGAGAAAATTAAATGAGCGCCAATTGTTGCACTATGCGAATTGCGGAAAGGATTTAACAATTAATTTGACTTTGTAAAACTCAAAATCCGATTTTAGGATCTTAGGCAAATGATATAGGGTGATAAACGAATTATTATGACATATAAAAAGAAGTATTGTGGATTATATTAGTTCGGGGAATGTGATGTAAATTGTCATTTTAATTCTAACATGAACAATGTCATCATCACTAATTATATTGAATCATCATCATTATCAAAACTCGCTCCACCAAAAGCAACCGCTCGATTTAGCACCCGACATGATAAAAAATCACAGCTATCCGACCGTCATGCACGGATCCTTGCATATGCTCAGCAGCTCAGACATGGCAATGCCAATCGATCACCCGAAAGGAACATAAAATCAAGACCCAGACTACATAAGGTAATTAATCACTTTTGATTTCAGATTTTAGATGGAGAAATAAAGATTTGAGAATTGATTTGCTTTTTGTTAGCAATTATGGAATAAAATAGATCAATTGGCTAAAGACATTAACATCTTGTTGGTTCTACCGCTCCAATGTCTCAAGGAGTTATTTCCGGTGTACGGAGATTTCTTTCGTGATATAACAAGATCTTCAATTATAAAAGGCGTATATACAGTACACTTATGTACTTGCCAATTGTGATTGACTTATCGTTGTGTCATGAATGTAATTTATTGTAGGTATGGTTTAGAAAATAAATAAAACTCATCAATGATCATAAAAAAGATTTAAGACTGCTCATAATTGTAACCTCTGGAAGGTGAAGCCATCACTTGGAGTAAACATACTTCCAGATTTAAATGCCACAATAAAGTCTCAAAATAGATGTTCACGTATAAGTCAATATCTAAAACTCCAAAGTTAATTTAGTTTGTTTTGTGTATGAAATAGTGTGAGAGGAAAAATCAATAAATAAATAAACTAATAACAAGATAAAATAACAACCGGATAAGTAAGATTTATTTATTTGAAATGCTCACAATTTTTCCAACACATTTAATTAAATAAAGGCACATAACTTTTATCAAAATGTAGGTAAAGTTGAGTTTGTATTGTCTGATAATTTTGGCTATAGTTTCAAACTATGCCATTGGAGAGGCAATTATGTGGTATACCAATTCCAACGACGACGTACTATATGCATTTTACCATAAAAATGTAAATTGTGTTGGAAAAATATGTTAAAATTGCATTAAATGGTGATTTTGGGGCATTATTTGAGTGGGGTCCACTTCTTATTTGGGTCAAGTCAAAGTGGTTTCGGATTGTCCTTGTTAAGGGCTACAATTCGATATATGGTACGCTCAAAACGGATAACGGGTGAATGAGAAATTGATTCTCGAAGTTCACTCGTTGAAATGGAAAAACTGGGAAAATGATGGGTTTCTAGTTTGTTTTATCCCACACCGGAAAACTCAAGGGATTTTCACCCCCTTATAAAGGGAAGCCTCTTTTAAGGAGTTAAGATTCCTAAAGGTAAAGGCTCTCTCTTACGCGCAGGGGGGGTGCCGATCAAATCCCGAAACGGAGAAGAAAAACCGTGACTCGTGTGCGCGGGCGACACTCCTAGCACCGTGGGAGGCGACGAATACGTTTTAAAGACATCGTGCGTTGCACGAGCTCTGGCTAAAATCTGCTCCATCTTATTTTCTTTTAGCTATTTTATTTATTAATTAATTTTATTTAATTAATATTTCTTTGTTTTTCCGGAACACACCCAACAATCTTAAAACGTATTCCGTGATTGTGTTACTGTGGTAAACAATCTTAAAACGTATTCGGTGATTGTTCTGCTCCGGTAAACAATCCTAAAACGTATTTTCCTTGGTTGTTGTACTGCGGTAAACAATCTAAAACGTAGTTTGTCACTTCGGTGAACGAACTTATTTTTTGTGTTTTCGGAAAACGTTGAAAACGTTAAAATGGCTTCACAAGAAATTGGAAATGTTGGTGGGCAGAACGTGCCAAACGATAATCAATCTGAAAGTGGAGCACCGGTGAACAATGGTTCACAACGTGGTGCATCTACTTTGGGCAACCAAGGGGAAATCCCTATGGTTACCGTGCCGAGCAATTCTGTGGAGAAATCCGAAAAATTTAACGGGTTAAACTTCAAGAGGTGGCAGCAAAAGATGCTCTTTTATCTCACTACTCTCGGTCTTGCGCGGTTCTTGATCGAGGATGCGCCGGTACCAACCGGGGGTGAGGTGGATGCGCAATCTTTCAACGCGGTTGAATCTTGGAAGCATTCTGACTTCCTTTGCCGAAACTATGTGTTGAACGGGCTGCATGATGCTTTGTACGACGTGTATAGCAAATTAGCTACGGCTAAGGAGCTATGGAATACTTTGGACCACAAATATAAAAGCGAGGATGCCGGAGCAAAGAAATATGTTGTTGGTCGATTCCTTGATTTTAAAATGGTGGATTCGAAGACGGTCTTGAGTCAAGTTGAGGAAATGCAAATGATCTTCAACGAAATTCGAGATGAAGGAATGACAATTAGTGAGTCTTTCCAAGTGGCGTCAATTATTCATTTATTGCCGCCGGCTTGGAAGGATTTCAAGAACTACCTTAAGCATAAGCGAAAGGAAATGAACTTGGAGCAATTGATCCTCCGTCTGCGGATTGAAGAGGATAACCGGAAGAACGATGGGAAACTCCCAATCGTTAACGGCGCCAAGGCCAACGTGGTGGAGCATGCAAAAGGCTCCAAAAATAAAAATAATGGGAAGAGCAAGCTCGGTCCCAAGGAAGGCGTTTCCAAGACAAAGTTCAACGGAAAATACTTCAATTGCAACAAGAATGGACACAAGTCCTCGGATTGCAAGGCACCAAGGAAGAAGAAAGATTCTCACGTGAACTTGGTGCAAGCTGGGCAAAAGGATGAAGACATCATCCTTGCGGACGTGGTGACCGAGGTCAACCTCGTTGGATCCAATTTCAAGGAGTGGTTCGTGGACACCAATGCAACCCGACATATTTGCTCAAACCGGGAGTTATTCACTACTTTTGAGCCATCAAATGGTGAGAAGGTGTGGATGGGAAAATCGGCTCATTCCGCGGTTGAAGGCGTGAGGAAAGTGATCCTAAAGATGACTTCGGGCAAGGAGCTGACTCTCAACCAAGTGTTGTTCGTTCCGGAAATACGCAAAAACCTGTTTTCCGGCTCGTTGTTGAACAAGCATGGCTTCCGCATGGTTTTTGAGTCGGAAAAATTAGTTTTGTCTGAATCGGAATGTATATGGGCAAGGGATATGCAGTTGATGGGCTGTTTAAGCTCAATGTAATGACTAATAATAATAATAATAATAAAATACCTTCTGCTTACTTGCTTGAGTCTTCCAATGTGTGGCATGATAGACTATGATATGTTAACTTTAATTCTATACGTAGATTAATTAACATGGAACACATTCCTAAATTCACAATTGATGTGAAGCACAAATGTGAAGTTTGTGTAGAGGCAAAACTAATGAAAACGTCTTTCAAATCGGTTGAAAGAAAAACGGAACCACTTGAATTAATTCATAGTGACGTTTGTGATTTTAAATCAATACAAACACGTGGCGGTAATAAATATTTTATTACTTTTATCGATGATAGCACTCGCTATAGCTATGTTTATTTATTAAAAAATAAACACGAAGCAATCGATAAATTCATTCTTTATAAGAATGAAGTGGAAAACCAACTTAATCGACGGATTAAAGCGGTTAGAAGTGATCGAGGTGGTGAGTATGAAGCACTAATTGGTGACTTTTGCGCGAGCGTGGGTATAGTACATGAACGTACTGCACCCTATTCACCTCAATCAAACGGTGTTGCCGAACGAAAGAATCGCACATTGAAAGATATGATGAATGCAATGCTAGTAAGTTCGGGCCTGCCACAAAATATGTGGGGCGAAGCAGTCTTGTCAAGCAATTACCTTTTTAAATAAGGTTCCCCGGAAAATATATGATAAAACTCCATACGAGTTGTGGAAAGGCAGACGGCCTTCCTATCAATATTTAAAAGTGTGGGGGTGTCTGGCAAAGGTGCTTGTACCAACACCTAAGAAAATAAAAATAGGTCCAAAAACGGAGGATTGTATATTTATTGGATATGCACAAAATAGTAGTGCCTATCGGTTTTTAGTGTATGATTCGAATAATCCGGATGTACATAAAAACACAATAATTGAATCAAGGAATGCTTCATTCTTTGAAGACGTATTTCCATGCAAGTCCAACGAAGGACCAAGCACGTCAAAACGAACAATTGACGTAGCTATGGAAAATACTAGTGAGGGCTCCGGAGAAGAACCCGAACCCAGACGTAGCAAACGTGCTAGAATTGAAAAATCCTTCGGACCGGATTTTCTCACGCGCTAAAGGTAAAGGCCCTCTCTTACGCGCAAGGGGGGGGGGGGGGGGGGGTGCCGATCAAATCCCGAAACGGAAAAGAAAAACCGCGACTCGTGTGCGCGGGTGACCTACGGACACGAATGCCGTCCAAAAATCTATCTCTCAAGAGATACGGTTAATTTTTATTTTCTTCCCGAAACGTTTATTTTTTCCCAGAAGTGCTCCGGACAAAAGGCCTCGACCAGAACACCTCGGTATGGTGTTCTGGTGGCGTCGGGCAGAACCCCTCGAAGGGGTGTTCTGTTGGCTTCGGACAGAACCCCTCGAAGGGGTGTTCTGTTGGCCGGACAGAACCCTCGAAGGGGTGTTCTGTTGGCTTCGGGCAGAACCCCTCGAAGGGGTGTTCTGTTGGGGGTCTTCTGTCGTGCAATTCTACCGTTACGAAAGTTAATGCCCAACGTTCTTATCTTTTAATGCTGCGTTAAATGGACAGTTTATGGATGATTCAATGCCCAACGGACTGGTCATTGATGTCCAATGTTCAGGTCCATTAACACTACATTTAACACACAACAAATCCTCCTATAAATAGCTGGCAGGTGGTTTGCAACAAGACACAACGCACAATACATTCCTCACGTTTTCTTGAGCTAAAAACACTTCCAGCTACTCCGAAATTTCTAAGTGTTCATACTGTGTTCCAGTTCGCCGAGACTTTCGTTTGTGTGCTCAAACGATCGTTCGTTAGCCACCGTATCCTGGGAAACGGTCGTTGCAACACTCCTAGCACCGTGGGAGGCGACGAACACGTTTTAAGGACATCGTGCGTTGCACGAGCTCTGGCTAAAATCTGCTTCATCTTATTTTCTGTTTTCTTTTAGCTATTTTATTTATTAATTAATTTTATTTAATTAATATTTCTTCGTTTTTTGGAAACACACCCAACAAATTGTTGCTTTTAATTAGCTTTATTTCTAGCTTTTAAGGACAAATTTTATAGAAGGAAGTGTTAATCAAAGTAAAATGTTATCAAATTAAAGGGAAATTGCCATAAACAAGAGTAATCGGGTTTTGGAATTTCAAAATAAGACTGCTATGTTTTTCTTCCCGAACTAGGACTCATTACGGTGATTATTGAAAAATGGGAATATCGCACTTTTAGTCCCTGAAATAGTGACCATATTGAAAAGTCAGACCCGTATTTCTGAAATTGCAAATATCACCCCCTAATTGTCCAAATTGCTGTAAATCTTGTCCTTTGAGGGGTGAAATGTACTCATCACCCACATTGTACATTTCTCCCCTCAAAGGACCACATTCACAACAATTTGGACAATTGAGGTGTGACATTTACAAGTTGGGAAATATGAATCTGACATTTCAATATGATGACTATTTTATGGACTAAATGTGTGATTTTCCCTTGAAAAATACTGTCATAATTAAAAACTAGGGAATTTGTTGTAGACAGGACTCAAAAAGACGGAATATGCATAAGTAGGACTCCATATACTTTTTAACCTAAATAGGACTAAATTTATATACTTTTCCTATTCTACCCTCAATGACTTGTCCACACTAGCCAATTCCTCAAACTCCTAATAACTTGTCCGCATCAGCCCTCTCTCATGCTCAGTCGACGGTGGTATGTGAACGATGAGTAGGCAACGACCAACAGTGAACGGCCATCGGCGAACGACGAGCTTGGAGGTGCATAGTCACAAACCTTTGCTCATCTTTCTCCTCCTCTCCTTGATTCTTTCTTCTCTGGTGCAGGTGCTATTTGAAAGCATTGAGATGCTCTATTTCTGTTTGTTTGTTCAAAATGCCAAGTTAGATCTGAAAATGTCATCCAAATGGCATTCGTACTCTTCCAAATTTTCGTATTTTCCATTCAAAATGCCATTAAGATGACATTCCCAATCCGTGTTTGGCATTCTAACTAAAATGTTGGCATTAGCGGCGGCGAAGGCTGGATCTACAGCGGCAGAGGACGGATTTGCGGTGACAGCGGTCAGATCAACAGGGCTGGCTGCCGGTGAGTCGGCGACGGCTAGATCTACGTCGGAGGTGGCCAGATCTGTACCGGCGGTGGTCAGATCTATAACGGCTGTTTCTGAATCTACTATGAGGATCAGTTTTGAGGCAGTGGCGGCGGCCGGTGGCTGCCGGCGGTGATAGGAGACCAGCGGCGGGGCGGCGAGCCGACGACCGGTGAGGTGTCCAATTATCACTTGCAAGCATCAAGGGCGTTTTTGTCCAATTACAGATTATTACTCCTGTTTAGGAAATTTTTAGACTTTAGTCCTATTTTGGCAATTAAAAATTGTTTTACTCCTATTTAGTTAAACACCTCTTAAAAACTATCGTCGTTAATTGTAATAAACACTGTCAAGTTTAAGACCTACTACTACAACTATTTGGTACTAATGACTACTAAAGACTACAAGATATATTAAATATTGTCATGTTACGCCTATTATATTTCGGGAAGAAAAACTTCTACCTAATTAAATACTCCGTAATTATTAGAGCATTTGCAATGGTTCCTTTTGAGGTGCTACTTGCAATTTTAAAGCTAATAGCTTACAAATGAGTATTGTTTTCCTTTTTTTTTTGAGAAAACTAATCAGCCAAAATAAGCTACTAGTTTGAGCAAAGAGAATTACTAAATATAACCTTATTATTAAATAATGAAGAGGAAGATGTTATAGCTAATCAGTGGAGTACATTTCAATTTTATTGCAAATGCTTATGTGGCCACCCAAACTATGAGAGTAATTAACTAACCGCTGGAAATGCTCTTAGTGAGCAAGAGTGATTGATATATAATTTGATATATACTTTAATTACCTTGTTTGAGCCACAAACGGAGATGGCTTGCAAAGATAAAATCTTCATTTGATCAGATATTTCAACGAAACAATGTGCAAAGGGGCTACGAACGTATTCTTACCGAAGAATATAGCGACGACAGTGAGTATACACCCGGTGAAACAGTCAACAAATCCAAACACATAATTTCTCCCTTTTGTGTAAGGAAAAGTTTTATGAACATAAACAGAATTTGTGTGCATAGTTTTGAATACTACCCAGATTTGACTTGCTCGATCTTCTAATTTGATATTTTATCGCTAATATGCAAGATTATAGACGTTTACATTTTAAGATTATCTTAGGAATATGTCAAATAGGTCCTCTTACTATAATGAACAACTCAATTAGGTCATCGTATAATTGAATCATTCAATCAAGCCCTCATATTATAAAAAATCATCCAATTATCCTTTATAGGCAGTTAGTTATGGGTTGTCCGGTGAGCGAGTGCCGTAGGCAATTAGGTGACGTTATTGTTTTAGAAATTGTCCTAAATAAGAGTAAAAACGTTTTGAAATTCCAAAATAGGGATTTCATGCTTTTATTCCCTAAACAAGAGCAGTTGTGTCAAATTTGGAAAAAAATGTCATGTTTAAAGCCTAATAATGCCAAACTTGACAGAAATTTACTCCTACTTAGAGCATTTCCAATGCAAAACGTGAATGGTGCATATGTGGCATGAGAGATAGCCAATTAAAAAACAATAAATAGAATATCTCTCTCCTTATTTGAACGGTGTTATATATTTTTGGTAAGTTTTTCTCCACAATGTCAAGCACAATGTCTATATGTAGACATTGTGGTTGAATTGTTGAGAAAAACTTAGCAAAAACACATACGACCGTGGAAAGAAGGAGAGAAAAATGTCATAAATTTAAACTTTTGTGTGTGTCTTTCTCATGCCACATATGCACATTATAACATTGGAGATGCTTTTAGGGAATAAAAACATAATCGTTCTATTTTGGAATTTCAAATTTTTTACTCGTATTTACGGAAAAGCAGATGACACGTTGGCGGTGGTCTTCTACATTCTTCTTTTAACCATTCCTTCCCGTTCCATGACACGTTGTCCGCTCTCACATTGTAAGTAAGCAGGGATGAGTGTGGGTGGAACAACAGCGAAGAAGAAGAAAGCAGATTGGATGGGGGCAGAAAAAGATAGAAACAGGGAGAGAGAAGAAGAAAATGAAAATGAAATAAAAATGTTAAATTAGCCATGTGGATTTGACACATGTATAAATTAACCTACTAAACTCTTTGTTCACCAGGTAAAAAGATGAATTGGGTGTTTTTTTCATAGGTTGAGGGCTTGAGTGAGTGATTTAATTGTACGAGGATTTAATTGACTTTTTCATTATAGTAAAATGACTTATTTGACAATTTTCTCATTATCTTATGTACATTGTATATACATAGTTCACTAATTTTCTGTCATTTATAAAAGTGCATCGTTTGAAGCTAATAATGTATTGTTGTACTGTGCATGAAAATAAGTGCAACTTGTTCGCACTTTCTACTGGAACATACATCACTTTTAGTTTGAATCACACTACACACACATATGCAAAATTAATTTAAAAAATGCAAACTGAATTTTCTCATGTTTCTACTTTCTAGTACTTCTTGTAAGTTTAACCATGCATATACATACTTGACTAGATATGATCATATTGATATTGAATATATTCTATATTATCTCGTAACAATGCAGGTGAGATTCAAGGCATTTCTCAAAGAGGCTTCTTGTGTTGGGAGATTCAAGCAGCGGCGGACACAGGAATTCCCAGCAGAGGAGTGACAGTGTAAAAAATCAATACAAATACATATTTATTAAAATATTGGGGTAAAAATAACTAGAAGGAAAAAAATAGAGGGGCGGGATCGTCCATTCGCCCCCCTTTGAGTCCGTCGCAAGATTCAAGTGATAAACAAAGATCAGGCATCTTAGATCATTTTCAATGGATTGTAGTTTAGCTATAGCACGGAAACTCTTGGGAAAGAGTACGTTTCCCGTTTCGGAAACTCTCGGAAACTCTTTGAAAACTCTCCAAATAAGCATTTTTTGAGCAAAAGTTGACGTTTTCCGTTTCCCGTTTCCTTATGATTTTCACGTTTCCGCGCAACATAGTAGTTTAGTCTAGTTAAAGTGTGTCACCTCATTTAATTAGAGTTGGACTATTTATTATATCCTCTAACGTTTGTAGTTTGTGGTGACTTGGCAACAGAAAAATTAAACACTGTCAAGAAAGATGTTTGTGTGTAGAAAGGCATGTACATAGTGACTCAGATAAAAATGACGCCACTTTTCAGAAAAAAGCAGACCGAAATGGGAAAAATTGACATAGTGGAGACATGAACGGAAACGATAGAAAATAAAAGTGCACCACATGTACAGGTTTAAAAAAATGACAATTGGTAAATTTTGTAAGTAAGTCATACTCCTTATAATATTTAAGAATGTAAAAAATAAATACGTAGTATAAAACTAGAAAAATGTCAAAGTAGGTAAATAGCTTACTTTGTAAAAAAAGTATATATAAAATTTAAATCTAAGTATTATTAAAATTAAAGTGTGTAATAATTTTTTAAAATGTTAAATATTAACATAATTTCAATACACAAAAGAGTATATCTTTTCATTTTTAGTTTAACACTTTTTTTTGTTGTTTTTCAAATTTATCAAGTTTTTTCAATAATTATTAAAACAACTATTATAGCATGTTAACAACCGGTAAAATGACCATACTGATTATATTTTAGAACTAAATGTGCTTATATGTACTCTCTTCATATTCAAATATTGAAAACGTTAACTCTTTTGAAAAAATAATAGTGAAATAGAAGGGGAAATAATAGTAGAAACACTACTAGAATAATGGACATTTGCTGCTATGTATTTGCTGCGGTTCTCATCCATGCACAACAAATAAGAATTAATTTCTATTTTAAAATTAATTTTAATTCTTAAATGCTAACGAGACTGATGATTTGCTGATTGTATTATATTCTTGCTGATTTGCACATTCAGTCTTCTTTACCTATGACAATTTATACTGATAATAAATCTGCATATCATTTGGCTTATAATAATCCTGTTCAGCACCAAAGAACTAAACATATTGAACTTGATTGTCATCTAATTAGAGAAAAATAGCTGCTGGTTTGATTTGTTTGATTCATATTAAAAATCAGTTTCAACTTGCAGATATTTATACAAAGCCACTTGGGAATCCATTGTTTAGCCAATTTGCAGTCAAGATGAACATGCTAGACATCCATGCTCATCTTGAGGGGGCGTAACAAGACTGATGATTTGCTGATTTAGATATTTTTACTTATTTTGGGCCTTTGTTTATTGGGCCTCTTTTATTAGCTTATACATAGTATATATAGCGTAGACCTATTGTATTTTAGATAGAAGATCGATTTCAGTTGTAAACAAACCCTATTCCGCAAACTCTCTCTGCGTTCTTCTTCTTTTGACATTCTCTCAGATTTTGGATTTCAATCACAGATTCATCAGAATTCTTGAATTCAATTGTTAATAAATGCTGCGGTCGTTCCCTAAACCGCAACGAATAACCTCAATGTTTCAAGTTATTGATGCGGGTGCGAATGGAACCGCATCAACTCTTTTCTTTTCTAATAGTTGGACGCCCAAAAACATGCCCTCATAGCTTCTTCCTATCACAGTTCCATTAAACAGTTCGGAGCTACATCTTGTTATTATAGTAATGATTTATAATAAAGTTACTATATCTTTATTAATTTAATGTTTATTTGTTAAAAGTAAGTGAGCATGCACTAATTGGATTTGAAAAATATTTCAGGTTTATAAGAGATCCCTAAGAGATGAAATGTTTCTGATGAATGGATGATATTGCTGAAGTTCAGGAGAATATGTATTTTGATAATTTATTGTACTCTTTTATACATAAAGATTGTATTATGAGATTACAATTTTTATTGTATTGGACCATGTTTTTGAAATATTTGATAAGTGATATTATATTGGTAGTGATCCATTATATACCTTGGAATATGGGGATTATTACTCCGTATTTTTATGTAAAAATTTGATTTATGGTCAATTTATGCTAATGCTCCGTTTGGAGCAATAATAAGTAAGTCGGTGATCCAATTTGGAGCAAATAAGTAACTTATTTGTTGCGGTTGTCCAAGAACCGCCGCAATAAGTGAAAAAAAAAAAAATTGAAATGCCTATTTGCTGTGGTTGTTGACCGCCACAATAACTAAATCCGCATTTTGCTGCGCCTTCAATTGTTGCGGTTGTGAACCGCAACAAATAACTAAAAATAACCGTAGCAATTAGACTTTTTTCTAGTAGTGAAAAAGGGTGAAACCAAGAAAGGATGGTGAAAAGTATGAAAAGTAATCTGTGAAAAAGTACTTTCTTTTATTTTTACTTTTATTAAGGAAAATTTCCTTTTGATAAAATAATTCAATCTACGTGCAAAAAGTGAAATTTTATTAAATATTTGAGTTACAAAAAAATATTTTTTAAATGAGTTGTATATTATACGTAATGTGTTAAGATGATGATGAATATAGAGTGCTAATAAGGGCAAAAATGGGTACTGAACGTCATATATTATAAAATGAGTTAAATAACAGTAAAATATAGATAAATAAAATGAGTGAAATATATTATTATATTAGATAACTATGGGAATTGGTAAAGATGTTTTAACTGGGATTATTTTCAATTTAAGACCAGACCAAATCAGAGTTCAATAATTATAAAATACATAAAGAGCATACATTTATCAGACCAAATCAAACAAGAAAATTTCAGTCCAATTAAAAAACATCATCAAATGATACATACAAACTTTGTAGACATATAGTGCATGTATCCTGAAGATATTTATTTTTCTAATAGAATGAACAAGTTCGTGAGCCACTCGGTCAGTTAAAGCTTGATTTGAGTTCGACCAAACCCGAACTCAAACTTGCTCGTTAAGCAAACACGTCGAGCTCTATCACAACTCCCTTGATACCAGCTCGCGAGCCATACCATATACATATATACATATAATTAGATTTATACATATTTATTTATTTATCTATTTATTTATTTATTAATGTTTATTTATTTCTATATTTTAAAATTTAATTGATAAATAATAGGGAGTAAAAATGTCATTGAAGGAGAGAGGAACTACAAAATGAGAATGATAACATACAAATATTATATATGGAGTATTATTTATTGTTTTGAAAATATAAATTTTACTTTTAGCTCGAATTCGGGCTCGATCGCTTGAGGCCTCGAGTTCAGGCATCTTTTTTGAGCTCAAACTTAGAATAATTAGTTAGTAAAAGTCGATCCAAGCTAGAACCGAGCTTGAGTCGAGCTTGGCTCGAGTTCGATACAAAAATATTTAGCTCGTTCGAGCTCGTGCATTCTTATCAAGTTGAAGTATAACCACATTCGAACTCGGCTCGGCTCGGCTCATTTGCAACCTTAATCAAATGTATCTTTCCCATATGGCATTTGCTCATACTTCCTACTTTTCTTTTGTCATAGCGTAGTAGTATTTTACATGCCACTACAAAAAAAATACGGGATTGGCACGAAATTTGGCACGGACTTACCGATTTTTCATGCCAAATAGCTTGTGCCCAAATGTTTTTGGCACGGATTTGACATTTCCCAGCCAAAATCCCTGCCAAAATCTCTGTCAATCTCATGATTTTTTTGTAGTGTGCATAGTGTGGGGCAATTTACCAAATTGGTAAAAAAGATGGTCTACCAAATGGATAAAATAAAACCTCTGGGGACAAATTGGTAAAAAAAGGGAGATGTTTCTTTTTGTACACATTGAGTGTATATACTCTCCCCATTTGTGTGTACAAGACAGTTTCTTAACAAATTGTCTGTGTACATGCAAGACAGTTTTTTAACGAATTGTCTATGTAGACAAACAACTAGGAGAGTGTACACACAAATTAAACAGTGTACCTACAACTTTTTTTCAATAAATAAAGCTTTGGTGACAAATAAGTCAATATTTGTGAGTGATATAATTTTACTCCTGGACTTTTGAATTTCCGACATTTAGTCCTCTAAGTATTGTGAATAACAACAATTTTACTACTACCTCCATCCCATTTAAAGGTTCCTATTAGAAAATGCTATGGTTATTTAGACAATATTTAAATAAGGTAATTCGATTTTTTTTTTATGAAATAGTTTGGATTGATATAGAATATAATGGGGTCATTGATGATAATTTTAACATTTAAAATTAAAAGAAACAAAGTAAAGTTAAATATATATATATATATATATATATATATATATATAGGTTTTGGTTCAAATAAGAACATGATCTTAGGAGAGAAATGAGAACGAATCTGGACCGTTAGATTTTCTTTAAGTGAAATTGAATGTGCATTTAATGAAACTGTAATGTGCATTAGGTGAAATTGAAATGTGCAACACAAAGCGTATGATACAATGTCATTAAGTGAAGCTGAATTGTGCATTAGGTGAAATTGAAATGTGCACTAGGTGAAACTGATATGTGCAGAATAAAAGGTACAATGTGATGTTATTTTTGTACATTTTATTCCACACATTTCAGTTTCACCTAATGCACAATTGAGTTTAAATTTTTATTTTGCACATTTCAGTATCATGTAATACACATTTCAGTTTCATCAAATGCACATTTCTGTTCCACATAATACAATCCAACGGTCCAGATTCGTTCTTATTTCTCTCCTGGGAGTCCGTTCTTACTGGAACCGCTCCATATATATATATATATATATATATATATATATATATATATATATATATATATATATATATATATATATATATATATATATATATATATATATATATATATATATATATATATGTGTGTGTGTGTGTGTGTGTGTGTGTGTGTGTGTGTGTGTGTGTGTGTTATACTTTTAAATTCATATTCTTAATAGTCATTTTACGTCTTAGCA